TATAATATATTATACTTGCCTATAGTTTAATATTACCTATTAATTGTTATACCTTTACGTTTTATAATATACGTATTGAAATTTTTTGTTAAACGATAAATATTTCTGATAAATATTTCTCTGTGTCTATTTATCACTTTTCAAATCACAAATTCATAACCATGTTCTAAGACAAAAATAATTTTATGCGGCAAAATGGGTCGGCGGCAAAATGGGATTAATTTGGCGGCGAAATGGTACCGCGGCGAAATTAAATGGCGGCGAAATGGGATACGACCAAAATATTGGTATAGGTAGGTACTATAATCCATATAGGTACTAGATATAGGTATTTTTTTGTAATTATAATATTTTATTATAGGTACTGGCCAACCTAATAATTATTATTATTATCTATATATTATTATTATTATTATTATTATTTCTTTATTTACTGATAAAGCTCTATTTACAAGATAATTGTTTTATAATATATATCTTTGTTTATTTATATAAATCGTGAAAGATTTATATTAAAAACTAATGTTAGGGAATGCCATTAAAATACATTTTTTTTTTTCATACAGGATAACAGTTATTATAAACTTATAAACATATATTAAGTACATAATTTTAAACCATACTTTACAAATAACTAAAATAAATTTAATTCTGTAGTATTTCCCATGATCATCAATATATTTACAGGCGAAGAACGTAAATAATTTTTAGAAATATTATTAATTGAAAAATAATTTCTTGTAGATTTGTTATTAATTCGAAATTTTAATTGTTCTAACAAATATGGACAATCTATGGTACCTATTTTTTAAAACTTTATATAAAAATATGTAATGTAGATAATCTCTTTTTTTATTTAATTATTATAGATAAAAGTAAGTTAATAAACCATTATACTCAGTATGTCGTTGGCGTTCTACTTTGAATTAGAAAGATAAATAACGAAGAAAAGGATTCGAGATTTTGAGTTATACAAATTTTATCAGAATGCCAAATAAGAGAGGAGTATTCTAATTATGATCTCGCAAATGCAAAATATAAAATTCTTAAAGAACCGTCTTTTTGAAAATTTGAACATGTTCGCGATATAAACTTAAATTTAAGAATGCTTTATTTGTTATTTTTTCAATATGACTGTTAAAACTTAGTTTAGAGTCAAAAAGTAATATCTAAGTCAACAAATTAATTAACTGATTCTATAGAAACGTTATTTAGTTTAGAATCATAATTAATACTTTTTTTTTTATATGTATATGTTTTTATTCAATCTGTTACAAAAGAGAACAATAAGAACAATTTATAGGTTAACATAGGTTAAAATAAATAAAATAAAAAGGCAGATTAGACTGAATGTAGGGGCCTCCCAGAGGAGGTACTACGACGCATAATTATTATTAATACTAGATTTTTCAATATTGAATGTTAATACTTTGCATTTGCTGATATTAAAACACAGCCCATTTAAATTACACCAATTATTGATATTTAGTAAATGTTCTTGTAAATTTATGCAATCATGAATCTTTAATATGATCTCATCATGTATATCTTTAAATTAATATCATCAATTTATATTACCAATGCATAATTCCAGTTTGAAAAACACAAACAATAATAGATTGTGAAGCAATAAGAATTTTTTTGTTCTTAATATAATTACTAATAAACGTATTCCCAATTCAAAACGAGTGTTAATTATAAACTTGTTATGATTGGAAAGGTATTGTTTAATATTTAAAAAAGAATTATTTTTACCAAGAGTTCGTGGTCTCTATAGAATTGCGGAGAAGGTACGAGTATAATTTGGTATGGTTGATAACTTTATTTATTTAAAAAGCACCATTATACAATTTTTTTTTAAATAACTTACTGGAAGCACCTTTCCCTCCAAAATCAATCATAACTCGTTGTTGTAATCTAGATAGCAAGTTTATTCATATAAATATATATTTTATGAAAAAATAAGTGCATATTATACTGCATGCATATTTGCGCTTTTTTTGGTACATTCGTATGCCCATACTTCGTTGTTTTTTTAACACATAAAAATCCGAGCCCTGAATAACAAATATTAAACTGTGCTATACGATTTACCCATGCATAGGCAGCTGCATGGATATCTACTTGTAAACATTTATTCGGATCCTGGGACACAATGAAATCGTTTGATTAATGTGTACTATTGGGGTGAGGATATTATTTTCCTTTAACACGCCTCTTGGCTTGGAATGCAATGTGTTCGGCATTCCTTATATTTTGTTGTAAGTGTTTACAACAACCTGAAGGGCAATCGCATACCTCCAGGGAATATAATAAAATAATAATAATAATATTCAACTGCGCAGTAGGTACCCACGTTTTACCGATTTATCGTCACGCATCGCAGAGTAAAATCATATTATAAAGATTACTGCGCTGTAGTATATATAATATAATATTATATTATATTATATTATACACATGTGATATATATTATAGTTTGGTCCGTACAGATGGTATTATATAGACACGTAGGTATAATGTTTTTGAAAAGAAATATATAACAAAAACAGGGTCCAAAAGGTCCAGTAACATTTGGCAATACAATAAAGGTGTTATATCCAAAATGTATATACTGAGTGTGTGTGTGTGTTTTGTGTACCCAGAGTACCCATGTCAAATGTCTAGACGATTAATGAGTTTTGGATTTTCAGAACAGAAAGGAACAATGATGCTGAACGCTGCATTAGGTTTTAAAATATTTTACACGGCCGATATAGTATGGCAATAAGTTAATTTATAAACTTTTAAATTTTACTAATTTTACGTGCTAATACCGATAGGAAAAAATTTAAACATAATCCGGACAAATTGAATGTATTGTTTTGTGTTTATGATTTGTTATTAACATTTAAATAGGTCGTTAATGTAATTATACATTTTATTAACATTCCAAAATAATTTTTTTTTACCTACTTTGCATATTGAAAGGGTTACACAACAATGTAGTAAACATCTAGAAGAACCATTATCTAACGAATCATCGACCTCCCAGGACAAGCCATGTTTTACGTCGGTATTTCTCTCCCATATCCTTTACCAACCATAAACCCGTACTATTAGGTACGATTTGCTCTATTTTTATTTATCTAGGTACATCTTAATTTATTTCCATTAACAAAAAACATTTTAGTGCATTATAATATCATTATATCAATACGAACATTAACTCGAATGATCTTAATTGTTATACCTACCTACATGTTTTTAAAATATTCAATAATTGATCAGATAATGAACAGTGACTTCAAATGGATACATACCGGTACAATAAATTGTTTGTTCCCACTAATGGACGTTTCCACCAAAGTCCCACACCACAGTTCCCAATTTCACTAGACTAGTGATCCTCAGTGTTTAAAAAGCGGTCAAGCAGACTGGTTGTGTATTAATAATAAAACATATAATTATTGTTTACGTATATCAATTAATAATTGTTTATAACTTACATCGCATATTTATTTATTTTTTGATATAAAGATATATTCAGACAAAATGACTGAATTGCCATGGCTGATGATTATACTCACTTTCATTAGTACGGTAATGGACAATTTTTATACGATTAACATTTATTTACTCTTTCATTGTTGTAACAATTAACGTTAGTATAATATGTACAGTAGGTACCTAAGTGTCAGTAAAAGCTTGCACATTATCTTCTTTATGTAAGAAAATATATTTGATTCACTTTTAATAGAATTTATTAAACTATGAAAGGTAACTTTGTACTTCATGGAACACTGTAATATATTATGTATTATATTATGCAGATATTTGTACTTTGTGGACAACTTATTGAATTTTCTATTTTTTTTTATTTTTCATTGCTTTACCTACAGTGCTAATAATTGGCATTGTTAGGTTTTATGGATATCATGTAAAAATATGTTAAACATGGTCTTAAATTATAATATTATTAATATATCATGCTATATAATACAAAGTGATTAATGTATAGGTAATTACAAAAGCTCATACCGACAATATTTTTTATTTTTATTGCGCATTTTTTATTAAATTATAATGTATCTGGTAGCTGCAGAGTACTAATAATAGTTATAATATAACTATAATGGTCGATAATGACTTATAATGTACGGACTGGATATATCATTATATTATTTTGTCAAATTTCGTACTTCATACCTCATACAAAACTATTATGGATTTACGCTGAACTGTTTTTTTTAACAGTTTTAAGTTTTTTGACCTAGTGAACATTTTGTTATCGATATTAATAAGAATAAATAAATAATACTCAACAATTTTATATGCCTATACATAGTTCAATATGAGTCAAAATATTTTGAAAATGTTATGGTGTATAATAATGCTTATTTAAACATTCAATGAAAATGCATGTTTCTACGGTAATGTTTTTTTAGAATTACATCAAAAACCAAAATGTATTTACCCGGAGGGAATTTGAGTGAAAAAAGGTTATCTAACTAATTCGGATGGCAATTCACCTACACAAGACTACTCTTAATATACTCTAAATTAGTACATACCTATATAAATATATTTTTAATTTAAATTTTCCTCAAATATCATTTAAATTGTCTTTCCTAAACTGCACCTTAGAGAGTGTAAGGGTGTTCTTTTTAAGCAAATTTAATTTTATAGTTTCAGTGGCCTATTTCCATAGCAGAACACACTTATTTTGTATTATACAATAATTCTCACCGGGAAGAAAATGTATGGTCTATGGATAATAGAACTACAAGCACGACTTATAATGAAGATCAAAAGTAAGTTAACAGACAATTCTTATTTAGGTTTTCTTACTTTATAATAATATAAGTAGGTGATATGTATAAAAATTAAAAAGTATCTAAAATGCAGAATCATTCCAGTATTTCACATAGGAAGTATTTACGTAAGTACATATAATGCTTAATATTAGTATTAAAATAGTCAGTACTTTAGTGCTGTAATAAATGTACCTACAGGCTACAATGAAGATGCTAGAACTTTTTCAAAAGGTGGACCAGATTGAGGTTGACAGGTTTACTTGATATGTACATCAAACAAGTATGTAATACATATCACAAGACCCAATATTACACCCAATATTAATAAGAACGCTATTTATTATTGAGATTCGACTAAAATTAAATATAACGACAATATGTTGAATTGTCAGTAAATAATATTATAGTTTGTAATATCAATTTGAATATAGCTATTAAGAACTCACACATTAAGCATTCCTTATAAATTAAAAAAGGTGGGTAAGTGGATACCGCTCTGCTGTACAGTAGGTTACAAGTGGGTCACTGTATAATGGAAGTTGTTAAATTTGAATTCAATGTTATAATATCATTGAATACGAAAAATGATTCTACGAGGTAACGATTTGTTAGTATGGATATTTCACATTATGTTTATATTCTTATTACTATTATTATTAATACGGAAGCCGGTAAGTTGAAATAACATTATAAAATCTCAACAAAATAACTAAAATCGTTATTCTTGGTTATTTAATATGTTCTGCCTCCAAATTTGAACATAAAACAATTATAAAAAAAAACTGCGTTTTTATATTTTTGAGATATTTTGTTTACAGAATAACCTACTTACGGGGAACCTTGATGTAAGTTTTTAATCCTAAGCGATAAAAGTTGAACATTTTATACATTTTTAGCTACAAAATAATTTCTAAATTAAAATGTTTATAAAAAAAAAATTCAACTGCCATTTAAGCGATATATCGGGAGCCTTGTATTACATTTTGACGCTTATTGGCCCAACAAATAAAATTGTATTGATATTTAAGATAAAAAACTATCCGTAAACAGGTCAAAACTAGTCAAAATAATTGGAAAATTGTATCAAGTATAGAAATTAATAAAATAAAAATATGATATAAATCTCAAGTGTCTGCAATTATTAGTTTTTGAATTACAACAAAATAAGAAAATCGCTACATGAGATATCAAATGAATATCCAATGTTGTAAAAATTTAAACTTCAACCGCTCATAAAAATTTAATTTGACTTTCTTACTGATTTTTTTCTTTTTTTTGATAAAGACAGATAACCTTATAAGGGAATCTTGTATTACATTTTAAAATCTTAGATTTAAAATAAAAAAATTTTTAGGAATTTCTAACTCAAAATAATTTCCAAATTTTCGTTATTTTTAAGCATTTTGTCAAAATTTGAACTTTAAACGCTTATTAAAAAATTAAAATTAAATAAAAACACACATCATTGTAAAATCAATATATTCATTACTCCACTCAGAATCCAAAAATGTAATGTGTTCCATGTTGCTATAATATTTATAGAGTTTTTTTCAAATATTGGGCTCATAAAAAATACAAAATATATTTTGCAAGTGCGAAACAACATTTTAGATTTTTATTTCTTGTTAAAACACGGACAACCTAGTATCTATTCATATAAAATTAATTGTTAAATTTCATTGCAAATACACTGGTCTTTAAAATTATTATATATTTTTAGAAATGTTCCTGTTACTGGTATTAAAAACATAAGAGTTATAGTTTCATCAACAGCGAACTTGACAAACTCTTCATCAATTGTTTTTCCAACTTCAACTGGTGAGAAAATTAAAATCAATACATTTATACCTCAACAAGACGAAATTGAAAAATGCTCATTGAATGAAAGTTATTGCATCAAAATTGATAATTATCCAAGGTAGGTACCTAAACATCAAATAAAATTACCAACCTAATAACTAATTTACTTGTTTTTTTTTTATTATTAGAGAAGATTTATCAAATCTTTTTAGAACCAGCAAGTTTGTGTTAAATCCTTATTATGATATAGATGCTATGAATGAGGTATGAACATTATTTCAAATTATAAAATATATCTAATTTTAAAATTATATAAATGCTTTTAAATTTTAGATAAATGATTTTGAAACAAGAATATCAGATGATTCACTTGAATCATACTGTGAGTCAAAAGTAAGTACCTATCTATCTACTGACATGTTAAACCCATAGAGTATTTTTTTATTATCTTATAAATACAAGTGCGTGCAGTCATGCCATTTAAATGCTACATAAGTACTTATCAAAAATGTTCACTATATAATCCTTAAACAATTGAAGTTCCGACATGTTTCGTCAATTATTTTCTTATTTTTTAAATTATGTGAATATAGGCGTAATGGTCGTATCCTAAAGTACAGCTTCTAATTTAATTGTTCATGACTTAACACCGTTAAGTACCATTAGGTATCATTCGATGCTTTGGGTTGCCGCTCCAGTCTTAGGGTCAACAAAAAAATCGTACCTATGTACCTATGTACCTATTATGGTATGATGTATAAGTGTTAGAGCTTAAATACAATTTCTATTTATCTGAGTATATTGTTTTACCAGAGTAGTATAAAATATACAGTTCGAAATCACATAGCTCCACAACCGCAGGCAAAGTTCCGCCACCTCCGACACACCGCTTCCCGCTACTATACAATATCACTCACAACTATAACACCACTCCCCCACCAGTACACCTCAAGTATTTGTGTTTAATATACGTATATGTATATAACCATATAAGTGTTAAGTTATGTAAGCTATGTGTTTAATATAAGTTGAACATGTACGGATACTGTATGTCTGTATAATACATATACATATCATGGAAACTGCAGTTTAGTGACGGTGTTGTGGTGGCGCCTACGGTTGATGTAGTGTAGTAGTGAGGGAGCGGTGTTACAGGTGAGAAGGATGTGTATAGTGGTGGGGAAGCGTTGTGCCGGCGTCGGCATCGGTGGAGGAGAAGGAGGAGGAGGAGGAGGACTGTCTATTTTATACTACTTACCAGGTAGAATCAGTTGCGTATTTACGGGGGGAGATTTGGGAGATATATCTCCCCCCTTCATCTTTTTTTTAGGTTCTATTATAAATAGTTTTTCCATTTATCACTTTATCAGTAGGTAATAAAATGCTGGGACGTTTGGCATCAGGGAGGTTATAGATAAATAAGATATAGATGTATTCATGTATTTCGAGCGGAGGGAAAAAAACTATTTTAATCATATTCCCCCCTCAAATAAATTCTAAATACACCACTGGTAGAACTATAATTAAAAAAATCCAAAACAGAGTATTCTTGTCTCGAATTTCAACTGTAAAAATTACTTTTCTTAAATATTATTATATTTACAACAACAATGACCAGTTATCGGCATTTAAAAAATATACCAGTTGCCCTCAACCAAATGTACCAGTTGCCCCCAACTGAATATACCAGTTACAATCACATGATCACAATATTTAGACCGTATAATAGGGGAGGTAAATATACAAATAATAAATAAAATTATTAAAATTAATTATAAAAATAAAATAAAATAGGTAGTATGAAATGATAGAAAAAAAAATCATATGCTTGGAATTATATGTACCTAATATTATTGTATTTTGTAATAATTACTAACAAAATAATATGAATACAATATTATAATTATGTAGCATTCAATGTTATAATTTATCAAAAAAAAAAAAAAAAATAGTAAAAAAATTAGATATAACATTATGTTTTGTTATAAAAATTACTAATAGATTTTACAAAAACTAATTTACTAATATTCTTGTTTTTATATTAATTTATTTAAAAAATCTTCCATTTTAACTTTTTTGTTTAAGTATGTGCAATTAGTAATATTTTGAATTTCATTTACATTGCTTATTACACTGTATGTATTTGTTTTATTACAAATTAAAATATCATATAAAATTTCAAATATCAAAATATATAAATATAATTTTATACTATTTTACTTAATTTTAGATTCTGAGTGAAACGATGAATGTATTGATTTTACAATGATCTGTGCTTTATTAGAATTTTTTAATTTTTAATTTTTAATTTTTGTGTCCGTGTACAATCGTGTAGTGGTCGAAATAATGCTTCGATTTTCAACGTCAGTATCTTATTCAATGGGAAAGTGAATATTGTTGGTGCATTGGGGAGATCAACTTTTAAAATTTCCAATAGTTTTCAAATGCGCCGGGAAAAACAACATAAAAATTGAGAAAAAACGGGAATTTTTACGCAAAATTGGTTGTACAGAAAATCGATTTTGGTTTTTGGTGTAACTCTAAAACAAATGAACGTATATGCATGAAATGTTCACTGGTTGTTTATATTTGCATTTTCTATACATGATACAATATTAAAAATATTTTGATTTGTTTTAAAATGTTTAGGAACATTTTCAGTTTTCAATTATATTAGTCTTTTTTCAGTGGATGTCAATAAAACTTTATTTGTTGGGTAAAAAAGCTTGAACATTTATTACTAGGGTCCTACTATATTGTTACAATGACATTTGAAAAAGATTAAAAATCCTAACCACAGTTTTTATTCATAGCATTTAGTTCAAACTTCAAATCTTGACAAAACACGGAAAAATCACGAAAATTAGCAAATCATTTTTAGTTGAGAATTCATCAAAATGTCTCTTTTTAAAACTAAGATTTGCAAATATAATACAAGATTTCTCATAAGTTTGTCTACTTTTATCAAAAAAAAAATATCCTTAAGAAAGTCAAACTAAATTTTTATGAGCGTTTGAAATTCAAATTTTTACAATATTAGATATTCACTCGATTTCTCATGTAGCGATTTTCTTATTTTGTTATGATTCAAAAACGAATAAGTGTAGATAAACGGACAATTTCATATTTCTATTTTTTTATTTTTTTATTCTATTAGTATCAATAAAGTTTTATTTGTTGGGCCAAAAAGTGTAAATATTTAAAACAAGGCTCCTAATATATTGTTACAATAGCAGTTGAAAAATATTAAAAAAAAACACAGGCACATTTTTTTATTATAAAAATTTATCAAATTTAAAATTGAATAATTATTTTGTAGTTAAAAATGTATAAAATGTTCAACTTTTATATCTAATGATTGAAAATTTAAAACAAGATTCCACGTAAGTAGTTAATTCTGTTACCGAAAAATCTAAAAAATACATTAGCACAGTTTATTTGTATAGTCATTTTAAGTTCAAATTTGGACGAAATTACATATTTTAAAAACCTACAATAACTATTTTAGTTATTTTGTTGTGATTTTATAATATTATTCGTGGGTACTTGAAACTTCTAAAGTACGCTATTATATATCTAGGATAGAATCAGGGTTTGTTGTTGATGTATAACGCGTTATAAGTAGGTACCTAATAAATATTGTGATATGATTAATTTGGAATTTAGTATAGGTAGATTATAGGTCAATTTTTTTTAATACCATAGATAAGTATATAGTATGTCTTTGACCTAGACTGACATACCATTTCCGCTCAGAATCGTTTTTCTTATACAATGATATTATATCATTGAATTCAAATTTAATACCATCTATTATACAGTGACTCACTTCTAACCTACTGTACAGCAGAGCAACTTTTTATAAATAATTTTATTTGTTATTTGTATGTTTGCCTCCTCTATTTTATCGGCTTTATTTTTTAATCGTGTATATATTAACATATGAGGGCAACTGGTACATTTTGCCCTAGCTAGGTTGAGGTTGAGGTGAATTGGTATAAAAAAATTTACTTTTGGGGGCAACTGGTACATGCCCCTTAGTAATGATTTTGATTAATATTTATATAAATTGTCATAACTGTGCCTGCATTATTAGGTTGTGGCATCGCCAAGACCCAAGTAATAGTCTGCCAGCTGCCTATGTTATATTTTCTCTTGCAATTTGTCAATTTGAACTATACAATCTGGGTATATTAATATCATGGTTATCAATCAGCCATCGAAACACGTTACACGACATAGATTGTTCCCATTAGAAACTGTGTAATCGCTTATTTTAATCCATTTTTCTTTCTGATTTATATGACTCTATTCTCTTTATAGACTAATTTAACCATATTATTTTAACTATATCACAATGAGATAGACAATTACATACATTTAACGCATGTATGAAAAGGATTTCTAAAAGTTTAGACTTTAAATATATTTGTATGACTTGCCACTTGTATACATTTTGTACTATTATATTACTGTTAAACTCGACATTACATTTGTATTTAATTTAAAATATTTTCTAGACAGAAGTAATATTTCCAGAAGCCGGTCTTACAACAAAAAACGAATGGCGTTATATTGTACAAACTCCAGAAAATAATAACAATGACACTTTCATTAAACAAGGAATTCTAGTGGAGAAATGCATGTAAGTATTAAACAAACATTGTTTCAGATATTAAATTAATTTAATTATTTGTAGTGACACTAGTGTTCCGTGCAAATTTGATGATACTTTACCATTAGGATTCGTTTCAACATGTATACAAAAATATATTATCAAAAGATTAATATCCATTGAAGGTTCACATCATTTTTACTATGATACTTTTAAAATGCCATCTTGTTGTCAGTGTAAGTATAGTAGAATTGAAGATTAACAAGAGAAGGTGGAGATTAAGAAAATCAAAGAATTTTTTATACGCAATCTTAAATCTCAAAAATAATCAAAAAAATAAGAGTATATTTATTTATTTAATAAAAAATAAAAGTATACATATATATATTAATATGTTTAATTCAATGTAAAAATTGTGTACGCTTTATTAAATATTTTATTGATAAAATAAAATGTAAAAATTCAGTTGAGAATACGATGTGAACTGAAATAAAATTAATGTTAAGTTGACATTTTGTTAAGAGTATAACTTTTATTTTATATGTTCAATATTTTTTTAAAAAACTACAACATAATATGATTTTCTTAGTTATAAAAGTGATGATTTAAATACCAAATTATCTTACTATCGTAAATTATTCGTAAAATATAAGCCATAACAGTTTTATTTATTTCTTTATTTATCATTTATATTTTATTTTCTATTGTATATTTTCTGTTGTAAGGCATTCTGAAACCCATACATACCTAATTCAGGGGCTGGAACCGAACCTAAAAGAACTCATAACTGTTTCTGGAATCGGAACCTTTAAAATATTAAGAACTAGAACCGGAACCCAAACCTTTATTTTAATAATTAATTAAGTACCGGAATCGAACCGGAATTTAATAGATTCTTTCGGGTTCAAAAATAGAATAATTGAATTTGGCATAATTTAATGGTATTACTGTTTTGTGTAAAAACTATGTATGATGAGTTTTCTAATATTTCTCATACTATTAATTAAACCCGTATTTCGGATAGGAATTTAAAACGATTATACTTTATAGGTACCTAAAATAGTATGAATTATTATTATTATTATTATTATGAAATTATTTGGAGCCAATACCTTTATTTTTATTTTATCAAAAAACCAGAACCGAAGCATAACAGTGTTTTTTTTTTTTGGAGAATCAGTACCATGACTGATCTGATAAATTCAAAAGGTTTCAGTCCCTGATACCTATATAACAATATCGTTTAATATCCTATGGGTACCAAAAATACAATAAGTGAAACCGACCATGCAACTACCCCAACCCTCACCGAAGTAAATAATTCAATAAAAAATGCCTAACCCATAAGTTTACGTGACAGTTCGGATTGATGATACCTCCACGCACCTCGACACACCGGCGCCGTTAGGTGAATTTATATGTTTATTGTTCATTGTACACGCGGTAAAGTGCCAAGCTGACGATAAAATCGTCTGAGTCAATTTTGTGTATTAAATACACCGTTGGCGGGTCGTAGGGTGCGCGAAGATGGATTACGGCAGGTTTAAAACACATTGTATATTATTATATTATATATTTATAGATATAGCGGTATAACTTCGTATAGCCAATGTACTGCAGATATTAAGTCTGCTTTAGTTCTAGAGCACCTACGGTGTATATACGTATCTATCTAATATACGATCAGACGGACTAATATTAACATCTTTGTGTCTTTACAGTACAGAATTCTTACATAATTGACTTAAGATTTGCTCATGTTTGTATTTGGATGAAGTTTATATTTTTGAATAACATATTATTTTTTATTTTAAATAGGTATACTTAGCAAAAGTTGAACTATAATAGAGTCAATAATATAAACAATTCACAACCATGACAATTAACTACAGCTGTTTGATAGATAAACATAAAAAATAAAAAGAGTAATTTGACGATTTTTGCATACAATAGGTAATATTGTAATGTAATAATATAATATAATTAGCTACTAATTAACAATATGGGTATATTATGAACAAATGGTATCTACCGAAACACTAAAACATATAAATTTAAATATTTATTGGCGTCTAGTTAAAAATACATTTTCAAAGTATTGAAGTACCTACCTACATAATTATTTACAGATATTTGATTTGAAATTTTTTCAAAACTTATATTTTAATATTCAGTAAAAATGTCTTTGAAAACAAATATTTAAGTATAGATATATCAATATTTTTATCATTTTCATGTATACATTAATTCTACACCATTATCCTTTGGTATAATTATTAATTACTCATCTGTTTTCTTTGTCAAGTTATTTACATTTTTGGTTGGGCATAGTAGGTAGTCACTGAGGTACCTAAGATGAGAATATTACGGTAAATAAATTATAGGTACCTACCCATTACGCGGTGGTTCAGAAACTCACTAATAATTGTTTTTATAAAAAAACACTATTTCATATTATGTATAAAATTAACATCCATATATTGTGTATAAATCAACAGTTGAGTGTGAGAATATTGGAAGTATAGGAGTATATAGAACACTATAGACACGCTCTGTAAAAGCATACAATAAATTATGTATATTATGGATGTATACAAATAAAAATAAAATATCTGGAAAATTTATAATATTTTATAATTTGATATAGGTACATAGATTATATTTACTGATTCAATTGCACACTTCATCATCTATTCATCCATTAACGTAAAAATCACGACCAAAATTGTTCAAGTACTTATAAGTCCGATTTTTCGTACCTATGCGAGGAAAATATCGTAAAATTATCCATCCCACTACTCTCGTTGCTGCGGCAACATTCACTCTCAATAAAAAAACGTTATTACTTATTTCTAGTCACGTAATTATAACTAACAATGAACAAATAATAAGGTATCAACAAACAATTAGGGATATCCCAACAAAAGCACTCCTCAAAACTCTGTGTAAAAAAAAAAACAAGTATAAAAAAATGGATAAAAAATTATAATTTTGTTTTATGTAATTGTTAGATTAGCTAAGATAAAGAAATAAAGAAGCGTCAAATATTCTAAAAGTTAATGAGTCGTTTTTCTATCGATTATACGTGCCTAAAAATTTTTTTAGTCATATAGGATAAAAGATAAACATTCACAAGGAGAGTATACCATATTGTTCATCATATAATACACGACAGTGCTGTCGGCATCTTATTTTCGAGTTTGGACGGGAAACCTACTCTCCATTATCCCTAGGCCAACATATTATTCGGGTCATCCAAGCGTTCGATTCAGCTATTCAAGTGCATTATAAATTACTTAAATAATACACACCCGAACCGGTCGTGTCACTCGTGTGTTCCTGATCCTTTTTTTTTTAATTCAAGAGTTGGCTCCTTTTAATTGTTATTAGGTACACCCTTCAAGAAAATAATGGAGGAAAAAACTGATCACTGCCCCGCTCCGGCTCAAGGTCGATTTAAAATTTCTAAACACCATAGATACGGAACACACTCGTGAAGTCGTGTACACATTTTTTATACATTATTTTAGAAACACGAACACATGACCTGCCTTATTCCTAGTGTAACGGGTCGATATAAAAATATTGTATTTTTTTTACTAAGACGTCGGTGTTACGTGCAATATAATTCGGTTTCAGATACTTTCTTTTTATCGGAAAAAAAAAATGAATACTAGAAAATTAACTAATGATTATAATTATAATCAATTTGACATAAAATGACTTGATGATAAACTAGTGCATCTCGCATTCGTGTCCGAAATGTAGTGAAATGGATTAAATACAGATATTAAGAGGCGTAACCAGATACAATTTTTATACTTGGTAGTTGGTGGGAAGCAGTATAGTTATTTGTACGTTGTGTTTTCTTATAAAAATAAAAAAGGGAAATTGTTTTGCATTATTTGCAGTACCTATACAATGTATAGTATAAATTAATATTATATTTCTTCACGTTTTTAAATATCTTTTATCTAATTTTGTTAACTAAAAATGTATAAAATGTGCACGCATAATGATTTATTCATTTAATTGCATTCAAATATGCACTAAAAACACATTTATAAATGCATTTAAATTAAATAAATAGGTATACAAATAATATTATGTATACCTAAACAAAATTAATTAATTAATTTTAATTTAATTTTCATATTGTAATCATATTATGTGTACTATATTATGTATTATTAACTCATGACTCAATCATCTTGGTTCTTATTAAACTTTAAATAATATTATCTAATTAAAAACATTAAACTCACCGTTCAATGTTCCATGTTTAAACTTGGGTCTCCTATTTATGATGCACAAATAGGTACATCACGATCCTACAAAAAATAAACCACGCGTTAAGTTTTTTTATTAACTCAGTGGCGAAGAGTTATATTAGACGATGAGATATCGTCTACCCCATTAGAATACACCGAATACGGTCAAAAAATGTAAATAAAAAATTTATTTTTAAAATTTGAATTTCATCTTATAAATCAATATTAATAATATTTTTATAACAGTGTGTGAAGGGAATTGGAAAGTGAGTAAGGTTTATCGTTATATTACTATGAGATTTATCTTGCCGTTCATATTTTTACTTTATTATATTTGTGTAGGCATAACCGAATGACATGTCATTCGTTGTGGGTAATTTTTAATTTACGGTTTATTCATTTCTTATATGTATAGTTTGTAACAATATCGACGTTCGAAATTCTTAAGCATTGTGTTTTCATGGCGACAAGTCTTGGCGTCGAAATCTAACGACCACGAATATAACAGGGGGTTCGGCAGAGTAGTATAAATGGGTAGATTTCAAATATATAATAATACTATTTATTTACATATATATAATATATTTTACGATTGTTAATAAAGACGACGCCGATAAGGTATATGGTATGTTTTTGTATAAAAACGGCCTACATGTAGGTAAGCTACATATTTTAAACGACAATCGCATTGCAACAGGCGATATGGTCTGTCAGACGTGCACCCCCGCTGACAACAACCCCCCCACGAAACGTATATAAAAGATTTAGGAACCTCATTGTCGAGGTTTGAATATAATATATATTATTTGTTACAGTTGTAACTTGTAATATTATAAACCTACATTAAATATAAGGTCACAGGAAATACGACAATATAGCAGAGTTTGGGCGTGTAAATTCGACGCTGTCGTTCACGATGAAAAAAATATAGCAGGTGGCAGCCGGCAGGTACTACGCACATCCCATCACAATACATTGGACGTCTTTTCGTTTTTCCACAATATTTTAACAACATGATCTTAAACATAAATGTCCATTAACGGCTGATTAATCAAGGGTGGTGGTAAACTCTCCCGATTTTATGGTAAACTCGTCCGGGTAGCTCACAACAGCTAAAATCAATACTTTCTATTACTATTTATTAAAAATATTTTTTCTTGTGTGTAATATTTTAAAATAGCTAAAATAAACTTATGAGGTATCTTGTATTAGGGTTTTAAGCATTTAAATCGAACACTTAATTTTTGATCTAAGCTAAGAAAAAAACTAAAATTAATCAAAGACGGACCGACTAATGTTACCAAAGATTTTTTTCAACAATAAAATTTAAAATTTCCAGTAGCTTTCAAAATCACCTGGAAAAACATAAATGATAATATCACAGTATCAGTTGATAAAAAAGATATCTCTTTACAATTCAGACTAGGTGTTTTGGATTTCATTTGATTAGGGGGGTCACACAATATTTTTTTGGTAAAAAATAATTTACAGATGAAATGAAATAGTAAAATTTACGGAAAAATTTACAGCACTTACATCTCTTGTTATACTATTGCGAAAATTGTTATTACATAAATATTTGCCACTATGCATGCAATACAAACTTACCTAATTATTAAAGCTGTAGCTAAGTAATACAATTATTATATGCAGAGGCGGAACTAAGAATTTTTACGCCCGGTGAAAATATTAAAATTAAGCCCAATCATGGACCAAGATTGAAAATACAATATCATTCCCTACAATTATTTTATCATAACTGGAACTAAAATTACAAACATACTGATTAACTTTTAAACACATAATAATATATAATAATTAATATATTCTGTGGACTGTGGTGTAACCAAGTTTATACTAATAAACTATCACACCAAAAACACTTTAAATTTAAAAACTTAGTCAACATATTGTTGATACATTTTTAATTACTGGAAATACTGTATTTTTTACTTAATTGTATTTATTATTAGAAATAATAATAATATTAGTTATACATATATAAATGTTGAAAAATAATCAAAACTTTAATTACCTACCTATCCTGTATAAAAATTGTAAACACTTTTGCTGTTTTGGTTCTATGCGCCTCAGGCCTCAGCCTTCAATTATAATAGATTTTTATGGTAAAATATAAAATCTTTTATTCTGATTGGGGTACACAATTTAGGCCAGTAAAAAATTGTATTTAATTAAACAATTTATAATAGAAAAAATAAAAAAGTAAATATTTAAAATCAAATCTTAGGTATCTTGGTAAATATTATAATATATAATATTATAAACTATAATATATTAACATCATTTTTAATATACAGATATAATATGCGTATCGTACGTTGATTGATAATCTTATAACAGTTATTTTACTCAGCCTAGGTATAGTTAATAGTTACATTTTCACTCTTAAATAATCGAATCTTAATAATAAATTATAGTATATTAGTTGTATATGCTTGCAGTAGGTATGCTAATGCCAGTATACCAGTATATACTTAATATACTAATACGAATCTATTCATAATCTTACTATTAACTTTATTTTTTTTTTTCATTAATTCCAACGTCATCACTACAACATGATAAACAAATAATGTGAAATAAAAATGTTTTCTTAACTTCTATCACCAAGCATTAAATAAAGAACTAAAGAAAAATTACGCCCACTAAAATTTTACGCCCGGGGATCAATCCCCGGCTTCACCCCCCTAGTTCCGCCCCTGATTATATGTAGGTATTTTATAAATTACAGTTTCATATTTAAAATTATATTTTTTTGGTTCGATCTTAAATGATAGGTATGTATAAAAAAAGTCATAGGTAGTATGTATGCGAATATTAATGGACCACTGAAATATAGGCTTTTGCAATGTATATCAACAGACATAAGTCAAGAAAATAATATCGTATTAAAATATAATAATAGTATATGCCCCGATGCCCGTGTGTGGTTTATTGGTTGTCCGGTAGGTGCGCACCTAGCGATCTCTTCTTAGCTATGAAAAAACTGTTCATCGCCACCGCCGCAGTGGTAGATTATAAAAGGGCCCGCAGAGGGTTTCTGACCATCAGTATTCAGTATTTCAGTGTACCTACAACATCATGACGTCCATAACCAAAACCATTCTTTTGATCACCGCAATCATTGCCAACAGCGGATATGCACTCGACGTCTCGGGTGACGATATAAAGGAATCCCTCTGTGAGTACTTTAATTAATTATAATTTTTGTTTTTATTTCGTTATTAGTAAGCACTTTATTGATAGTAATTAATACTATTATTGGTATTTTTTTTTTCTTATTAAAGAAACCCATTTTTGCAAATGAAATATTAATTTGGATTTAGGACTTTTTGCTCATTTCATATTTTTATTTATTTGCTTTACATATTTTCTTGTTTGTAGTTTCATGTATTTATTTAATAATGTCTAATTTGTTTTTGTTATTTATTTATAATCCATACCATCATAATTTCAGCTCAATTTTCCCATATGTCGTACAACTTTCAGCAGGATCCCCCTAACCCGGGAAGATGTGACGACATTAGTGGCTGCGTTACAACCGAGAGAAGTTTTGATTATCCGTTAGACCGTGACTATTATAGACCTATCGAACCAAAAGAACCAATGTATAGCGAAACCTTGTACGCCATCAGCAAGCTTCCAGGTCTAAGGTAAAAGCATCTGATTTTTTACGTGTTGTTATGGGACCGAAGATAGCCATTTATCCTCCTAGTCACTACCTACTCTATAATATTACCAATTATTAAAATACAAAATATTTACAATTAGAACTAAATACAGAGTGCTTTAAAATAATAATTATCATTTGAATTAAATTAAATACAGTTTTTGCATTATCCCGGAAGCAACATTAAAAACAAAGGAATTAAAATTTTCCATCGTTAATAAAGCACACATAGATATTTCGTAGTTCGTTGGCTACTTTTTATAAATATTTACATTTTCTTTTTTTTATTTAATCTATATAAAGTAGTTAATATTCATTCTAAATTGAAAAATATTTTATAAATATTATTTTCATCCATATTTTAATTTTTCTGCTCTTGAAAATGTATAAATAACCTACGATAATCATCTTACTAACCGGTGTTTATTGCCCGGTTTCACAAACGATCGATAAAAAGAGTACAATAAGCTGTGATAACGGTTTAATAAACAGTCGGATAAATATCTTTATGGGTTCCCTAAAGTGTTTAGCTGTTGACAAACAATTTTTTAACATTTTAATGGTTAGTCCTCTAATCAAAGTTTATAAATACCATGATTACAATTTACAATAAAATTTGACTGTTATCAATATTACATTATCACCATTATCCCAAAATAATTCGATCTTATCAGGCCAATAAAGTTATAGAACTCTTTTGAATAATGTGTTTCGAACCAAAATCAGGTTTATAACTTATCGAACCGATAACCCAATATATATTTGTATTTAATTAATAAAACTTATTGATCCAATGTGCAACCTGCCAAACTTTCATCAATTTGATAACCTAGTTATTGGTTTGATAACACTATCTTAAATCGTGTTTGATAACCAGTTATTGGTCGTTTGTGCAACCGGGCATCAATTATAGGTACATAAATAGTTTCTTAATCAAAAGTAGTTTTCTTACTTATAATCAACAATTTTAATCATTATATATTTATTATAACTTAATTTTATTGTTTTTTGTCCAAGATGTACAATATTCAAAAAAGTAGTTAGACAAGTATACGAATTTTTTAAACTTTTCATCCACAGAAAAATAATTTACTTTTATTATATAGTTATTTCGGTAGTACACGGCAGAAGAATATATTTTAAAGTGGTTACCTCTAAAAAAAAACATTGATTGCGTTTCTCATTAATACAAATAATTTTTTTTACATGAAAAGGGAACGACGACAAGCTGTAGTTAAGACTAAAGGTTCAGATGATGGTCCTAATTCGGTTATGTCACTGATCGCCAGATCCAGTTCTCCGTTAAGATCCATGATAAGAAACAGAAATCGTCGATCAACACCACAGACATCTTCCAATAAAAACACTAGAGTGGAGGAACACACGAAGGTTGTCACTAATCGACCAGCAACTACGGTGTCAAATTCTCAACGTTTACTTCTGTTTTTATTAACTACTCTTACTATGCCGTACTTTGTGATCACTCCAAGCCATGTGCATGAAGATTATGTAGATACCAGCAAACTTTATACTTCTTGAAATAATAATTTTATTCAAATATAAGATTATTATAAATTAATTGCGAATCTTTAATTGTATTCTTTATATAAATTAAATAACACAATATCTTCTTATATAAATATTATACAAAAGCTAAATATTAAATACTCGTATTACCTATTCAATATAAAATATAAATTTCCATTATTATAATATTATTATTCTAATAAATAATCGTAGATTTTTTCACCTAGTATGAATTTATTGATGTCTTATCATATGTCTTACAGCGAGAAGTTATTGTCGGAACTAAAATTATTAACTGGACCAAATATTACTATACCGCACCATACATATTGGACCAACTATTGAATAGTTTACTATGCGGGTCTACATAAAAATGTATCGAAAAAATCTATATTATAGATCAAAATAAATAAAAATAAAATGTCATTCGTTGGTAATCTCACCACTTGAGAACGGCTGGTTCAGATTTGGTTATTTTTTTAAAAAAAATGTTTGTAATAGTTCGAATAAGGATTTTGTGTAATTAAAAATTAAAATAATTGCATGGGAAGTTTGAAATTTTGGGAAAAACTGAATGTACGTTTTTGATTACCTGACTGACTGATCAACTTAGAGCCTTAATTAATAATTAGGATATAGATGGAGACTTGAAACGTTCGTATTACCGAAAGTACCACCACTTAGGTGTGCACTAAGAATGCATTTTTTGAAATTTGCATTTTAAAGAGGTGTGAGAACATTTATAGTTTATTTTTACTTTTTAAATAGTTACCTGGCTGTACCTGAAAAATATTGAAATATTAGATATTGGGACCTAGGGATATGTTAACAATTAATATAGAATTAAATTATAAATATGTGATATTTCTTATATCTACAAATTCTTGGTAAACATTTGAGGCCTATCTCAATGTAACATTTATTTGTTCTCACTTTAAATAAACCCAATATTCTATACTTGAAATAAATATAATTAAAACAAAATAAGAATTTGTAATTTAGATATTATTATGATTGTAAATTGTTATTTAATTGTAAATTTTAAAATACTAAATAATAAAATTAAATTAAATGTTCCAAACAATTTTAAAATAAGGTACCTACAGGACGAATTTTCTAAAAACGGGACAAAAGACGTGTTAATTTGTACCTTTTATAAACTAAGTAAATATATTTTTTTCAACCCTTATAGCTAGATAGTTAAATGGTATAACTCACACAAAGAATATTTATTGTTTATTTTAAAAGTTGCCATTGGTTACATAATATATTACTATTGTGATTTGCAGACATTTAGCACATACATTTTTTTTTTCAAATATAATTTACAATTAATATTTGGCAGGTGGCACTGGCTACGCCGGGTGGAACAGCTAGTAATGTAATATAATCAAACAATTCTGTCTTCCATACAATTTATAAATATATTTATTAATCATGAAATATCATAAGGGATTATTTTTAATTTTGTGTGAATAAATAATAAATATTGAGTATAAATACTAAAATAGGATAGCATAGTTGCAGGTGGCGCCATAATTATGTTGCCCACTGGTGACAAATCTTAAATACTTTCTATGATCTCCAGTCTTTGTCCTTTGGGCCCTTTTTCATTGGTTATTAACAGCTCGTTTAAATTCAAATTTAAAGAATGTTAGCCTGTAAAGTACTTCTTTTTCAAAAATTATTTATTTATATTTTAAACTATTATTTTTTATAAAATAATTAATATTGAAAAATACTAAAAAGTTGATACAAAACTAACATTTTCAGAGTTTTTAATTGATGGTAATTGATATTTTTTATCGCATATTGAGGTGCGATATATATAGTAGTGATATCAGGGAGATATCACTACTTTTGACCTTTTCGTTATCTATAGGTAATCAAGTTAGAAATATTAACTTTTTGATTGTTTATATAGTTAAATATATGAATATTTTTTTTGTCTTATTATATTATGTTTATAGTTAAAACTTCAAGATCAGTTAGTTTTATCACATTACCTATGTCTGAGACTAAAGGGAGTTTCAATACCATAATTATTTACAGGGTGTTTATCAAGGTAATCAATAATGATCACAATCAATAGGTATATGATTTATCAACTATAAAAATAATAAATGTATAAAATAAGATACTACCTATTGTTGTGCAATTCTTAAGCAATTGAAAATTGTTATGAAATTAAATTTAAAAAAAGGTGGGCAAGTGGGTATCGCTCTGCTGTACAGTTGGTTACAAGTGGGTCACTGTATGATAATGTATAATGGATGATATTAAATTTGAATTCAACGATATAATATCATTGTATAAGAAAAACGATTCTGAGCGGAGATGGTATGTCAGAGTCTAGGTATAAGACATATTATATACATATATGGTACTAAACCAAAATTTGACCTATAATAAATTCCATATTAATCATATCACATTATGTCAATATCCATTAGGTACTTATAACGCGTTATACATCAACAAAAACCGTGATACTATCATAGATATATAATAGTACAATTTAGAAGTTTCAAGTACTCACGAATAACATTATTCAATCACAACAAAATAACTAAAATAGTTCTTCTAGGTTTTTTCATATTTAATTTCGTCCAAATTTGAATTAAAATGTCTGTAAAAAATAACAGTGTTCATATATTTTTTAGATTTTTTGGTTACAGTATGAACTATTAATGAGAACCTTTGTTTTAAATTTGCAATTCTTTGCTATAAAAACTGAATATTTTATAATTTATTAATTACAATGATTGATAATTTTCGAGATTTTGATAAATTTTGTCAAAATTTGATCTTTAAATGCTTATTAAAAAAAAACTGTGCCTATGTATTTTTAATATTTTTCAACTGATATTGTAACAATATATCAGGAGCCTTGTATTAAATTTTTACACTTTTTGGCCCAACAGATAAAACTTTATTGATATTTAAAAAAAAAAAACTAAAAAAAATTGAAAGTTGTAAATGTCCGTAAACAGCTCAAAAAGAGTCAAAATATTTTCAAAATTGTATGGTGTATAGGAAATGCTAATATAAATATTCAGGGAAATTTTCATGTATCTACAGTTATTCGTTTTTGAATTACAACAAAATAAGGAAATCGCTACATGAGAAATCGAGTGAATATCAAATGTTGTAAAAATTTGAATATCAAACGCTCATAAAAATTAATTTGACTTTCTTATAGACATTTTTTTTTTGATATAGATAGATAATCTTATAAGGAATCTGTATTACATTTTCAAATCTTAGATTTAAAAAGAAACATTTTTACGAATTCTTCACTCATAATAATTTGCTAATTTTCGTGATTTTTCCATATTTTGTCAATTTTTGAACTTTAAATGCTTATAAAAAAAAATTGTGACTAAGGTTTTTTAATATTTTTCATCTGCCTTTGAAACAATTTACTAGGAGCCTTGTATTAAATTAACAAGCTTTTTTAACCAGAAAATAAAATTTAATTGATATTTTTAGAAAAAAAACTAAAAAAAAATGGAAAATGAAAATGTCCCTAAACAGTTCAAAATAAATCAAAATATTTTGAAAATGTTGTCGTGTATAGAAAATGCAATTATAAACAACCAGTGAAAATTTCATGTATATACGATCATTTCTTTTAGAGTTACAACAAAAACCAAAATCGATTTTTTGGATAACCGATTTTGCGTAAAAATTCCCGTTTTTCCTTATTTTTTATATTGTTTTTCCCGGTGCTTGTGAAAACTGTTGGGAAATTTTTACTTTTGACTCCCTCAAAGTACCAACTAGATTCACTTTCCTATCAGAAAAGCTACTGTTGAAGAAAATCCAAGCACTTTTACTGTCCTAAAACGTGATAACAGAGACAAAAAAAAATTTTAAAAAACACACATCATTGTAAAATCAATACATTCATCGTTTCACTCAGAATCTAAAATATTTTATTTACATACGTACTTAATATTTAAACCAATTACATTAATAAATTATATATCTAGATGAAGTTATAATTTTGAAAAATGTAGGTACTAGGTACTCATATCTTTCTACTTGAAGATGCCAACTATAGGGATGTATTATTATCATCACTAAAAGATAATTGCTTCACAATTTTATTGCATGACGACTTTGATTTCTTCGATGTGTTAATGCGTTATAAGTTATAGACCGAGGGGGGGGGAGGGGCTCCGTTTTTTTTATTGTCTCATACATTTGTTTATTTGCTTAGCGTGTGCCTCGTCTATATAGAGAGTATTAGAGTAAGGACCCCGTAAAGTATTTAGGTATCGATATTTTTAACTGTAGATACGCATTTTTTCTTTACAGGGCTCAGAAGCTTGCCTATTATAGTGTGAACAGGGCACTATAATAGAACAATTATTAGTGTTAAGTAATAAGTATGAGGAAGTTTTTTTGGATTAATTGTGCTACTGCAAGTGAAATTAGGTTTTATATTTCTCCTTAAAAAAATGGGCGCAGAAGAGGCCACGAGCGGATCCGCCGTTGGATTCAGTGATCATGAAAATGTTGCATGCAAAAAGTATGTAATATTTATAAAAAGGTGGGCAAGTGGGTGTCGCTCTGCTGTACAGTAGGTTACAAGCGGGTCACTGTATAATGGATGATATTAAATTTGAATTCAATGATATAATATCATTGTATAAGAAAAACGATTCTGAGCGGAGACGGTATGTCAGTCTAGGTAAAAGACATATTATATACATATCTATGGTACTAAACCAAAATTTGACCTATAATAGGTACCTATAATAAATTCCAAATTAATCATATCACAATATCCATAAGGTACTTATAACGCGTTATACATCAACAAAAACCCTGATACTATCATAGATAATATATAATAGTACACTTTAGAAGATTCAAGTACCTACGAATAATATTATACAATCACAACAAAATAACTAAAATAGTTATTCTAGGTTTCTACTTTTTTAATATGTAATATCGTCCAAATTTGAATTTAAAATGTAAAGAACAACTTACGTCTTACT